AAAAAAAAAAAAAAAAAAAAAAAAAGACACAAACTTGATGGAGGGAAAATTTGAGTTACACCCCCATCACACTGAGTTGCACTCATCATGTTTGTTTAATTTTTTTTTTTTTCTATCCTACTGTTGACTAATTACCAAAAGTTGGATTTGCCGACTAAATTTTTTGTCGCTAAATATATCATTACTGCGACTAATTTATTTTGTCGCTAAAACACTTTGGTCGCGAAAAGTTATATTTTCCCGACCAAATTTCTTAGTCGCCAATTGTCACATTTCTGCGACCAAAATTAGTTTGGTCGCCAATTGTGGCATTTCGCGACCAAAAATTTTGGTCGCCAATTGTGACATTCTGCGACCAAAATTAGTTTGGTTGCCAATTGTCACATTTGGTCGCCAACATCCAACAAAATAAACCTGTAATTTTTAATAATCCATCCAATTTATTCAATATAATCTGTAATTTGCAAAAATCATTCAAACCAACAAATAAATTGAATCATGAACATTCAACAAAATACATAGATCAACCATTTCTGAACCTGTTTAATTAAAATCAGCAACTATTATAAATTTTCATCCACAAATAATTCCAAACTACATATTTCATCTAACATAAAAATTTAAGACATAACAAATACTTGTTATTATGTTTAAAATTTTTCTCCATGTACATCAACCAAAAAATATAACTAGTAGTCTACTAAATATTTTCTATACACACCCATCCAAAAATATAACTACTAGTGTATCCAAAAATATAACTACTAGTCTACCCTTTTTCTACCCATATCGAATCTCTAATCTCTTGGACTGATAGTCAGTGCAGTTTGAACAGGAAACAAGTTCTCTGTAAGTGCTGGATGTAGGAAACCATCCTTCCAAATCATACTTGTTTGCAGCTGCATCATTCAAAGCACCGGAAACAATAGCCACAATTTGATAGGGTAGTTTTAGCTGCAATAGAGAGAATTATGTCATACTTGTACGAAAGAAAAATGCATAATTAAATAGAGAAAAATCAATTCGTCATCAGCAGGAGCCCATATATAGGACCCTCGAATTTCTTTGGCGTCAAGTGGCAGACTTTTTAGCATTAACCAAACAAAACAACCAATTCCAAAATTACTCATCTTACATGACATTACAAAACCTAGCAAGATAATCTATATGAGTACTATAAGAAACATTATCAAGCATCTCCAGCTTAAAAAAAAATGAATATAACGAAGAAATAACCAAAAATTATACACATCATTCCCCTACAATTCTGAGGGCAGGAAAGCTCTATACTGTCTTGTAAAACTCTTCTGAGTTCATTATCATTTCCTCGTGCATGTCCCAAGAGTCATATATGTTAAACCTACTATATGTGATTTAAAACAGTTACGCATATATAAGGTAAAAAAGAAGCATAAAAAAATTAATTTTGTGAACCAAGTGGATCTAATTGGGCTAATCAAAATTTTGTGCCTTGTTAAGAGTCAAGGAAGATTTCTCCTTCCTGGACTATGACCTCCAACTCACAAAATATATATATAGAATTGTTTGATCTAAATTCATTCGATTTTTTATGATAATAAAATTGTGATTTTTTATATCAAGGATTGTGATATATATTCTTTTTATACAAAAATCTAGCTACACTAAAAATCTAGCTAGATGTTTAGTTGAACACTTGAAAAAATTAGAATGACAAGGTAGAATTAGGCATGAAGTCAATAAAACTAAACTGATTTATTCATTGTTCTTCCTTTCACCTCACATTCCATTCTCCTTGATTAAAATCATTTTTTCTCAGTTTAAGGCAGAATTCAGGTTTTTTCTTTTGTAACCATTCTACCGGTGCAATGCTATCAATCTATCTATCTATCAATTAAAATCACATTGAAGAGCATCGCATAAATCTCAATGTTACTTGGGCCATGTTAACAATTTCACCACGGATAGCATGCTCACATTTCAAAACCCGTCAATAGAAAACTTGGAGGTGAAAATGTGGACCAGCATGTAAATTCAGAATAGAAAACAGCCCACATTGCATAAAAGCAGCCACATTGCCCACCAGCCACATAATATTTGAATCTGGTCACTCAATGCAAAGACAAAATTCAATAAAATCATTGCACAGCCTACAGAATCTATTATACCTACAGAAATATACCACAATTAAAAGTACATGTAGAAGTTTCCAATACAACTAGACAATTATGAAAGCATCAACATTCTCATCAAAACTAAATACAGTTAAACTAGTTGAGTTTGTGAAATTTACACGCACCTAAGTTCCAAATTCCATCACATTTTAAAACATATTTGTCATAAGTGAATCAAAACCTTGCCATGGAGAACATAACAATCACAGCACAATGAAAAAATGAACCTGTACAAGTGAACCTTCAGGGGCAGACAATCTGTAAAACCTCGATGTCACATCACAGTGGGTGCTCCGATGTTTAAATTTAGTGGATACAAGGAGTTGTTCATATCTACCACAAACAATCTCACTCTGATAAGCAAAGAACCTACAATAGGGTGACAGCAGCAAATGGACGACAACAAGAAGAATAATCACTTAAGCACAGATAAGAAGGATCTAAGCACACAAGAAAAACAGAAAAAACAAAAGGAGGTAATTCAATTGAAAGAAATTGATAAAGACCACAACATTCTCACAGACCATCTAAATAGAAACCAGCCTTTCTTTTTAAGCATCCACTGTTCAGCTGCTTCCTTAGATTTTACAGATTCAACCTTGGCATGTGCAAAGAAACCTGAAAGGTAAATATACCATCAGTGAGAAAAGGAAAAGCTAGCAGTTCAAATATTTGTATCCTCAACACTCCATGATATCTACAAAGTTCAATATGAGGACACATAGGAATGTATAAGGTTTATTGAAACGGTAGCAATTAATACAAACACAACCTTGATTGAGCTTTGTGCCCCCAAGGACAAATATTTTAATAAACTTCATTATCCAGGGACAAAGATATGAAAACTAGAATTATGTCTTCAATGCACATTATATCAGAGACCAGATATACTCCTGACTAATTTCTAAAAACTAATGCACAGATAGAAATAATAGTGGAGAAACATCACTAAGATGTGAAGATCTAGCAAAAGGAAAAACTGAACGTCCTGATGAAAGCAAAAAAAAGTTATCCTCAGTAATGATTATACATACACACACACACACACATATATATTAATAGAAATCGAAACCTAAAAAAGGTGAAGTTCTACCTTGGACGAAATGTAGAATGTAGACAAATGTGGTGCATCGCCCAAGGTCACTGATATATAAGCAAACATTACAAGATAGCTTATCTGATAAGTATTGGGAAAACAGAGTAAAGACAAATTGTCAGAAGCAAATTTGGGCCATAAGTGCGTAATTATTGACAAGGATTTATTTAATTAGTTTCCAGTACATGACACATAAAGAGGAACCAATCAACATGTAATACATATACACACAGAAATTTTTTCATGACTTACTAATATATTTACAACATCAGCAGTACTTTCTCTCTTCAATTCTTCCTCAATTGAGCTCTCAGATGAAAATGACAGAGTGAGATTGTTGGACTGCACCATTGGCAGCAGCTCATCCTGTCGTCATAGTTTGTTCATTATCATGCACATCTAAGTATCTGAATAATTTCATAGTGACTGATTGAGCAAAACATTATATTGAGAGAGAGAGAGAGAGAGAGAGAGAGAACTATTATATTGTACAAAACACGACAAAGAGGAGAAAAGTATAATTGCAATAAATCAACGTACTTATTACAGTGTAGAGCTAAATGGGTGCAGTGTAGAGCTAAAACATGGATACAGTTGATTCACAAAGTTTTACGGTAGCTAGCAAGTATTCAGTTATGGTGTATTGGCATAGAAATCAAGAAGCTCTAATTAGACAAATATCAGTGCAATCCTTATGTCTTCAGCTGTAACCTGCATTCAAACTTTTAAACTGTAGGAATATCTAGACTTCAGTTGATTCTGTATTCACAATCCTAATCGAGAGAATCACTTTCTTGACAACCTTAAACCTCCCAACCTTCAGTATTTCTTAATTGTCATCCATGAAAGTCTACACTGCGAAACCTTAAAAACTATAATGCAATTATATTCAGAGATGGTCAAATCTTTCTAGAGTTTTGACATTAATTTTTTATCATTTCCCCTGTAAAATTTTGAGCTCAAACTAAAATAAATATAATAAAGGGGATAGGAGGGGCGTGGGAGAGAAATAACATGTAAAGTAAGGAAATAGAGGAAGAGGAAGCCATTCTTAATGCATAACTAAGGGAAAGTGGAGTCACACATGATAATTTTTAATTTACATTAATATATTCATAAAAGTAACTGGAAATTCAGCTCAAATATTCTTATCCGAGAAAGATGTGAGAAAATCTTGCTAACTGTTTACTCAATTCCCCCGTTGGTGGAATTTCTAAAATCAAATTGCCTTCGGAAACACAGTCCACATACCAGTTTATGGAAGGTGAAAAAAAAATGTTGTCAACTTATCACAAACAAATATAAATTCTACTTGCAATTGGCATATATATATACATATTTAAGAACAAAGATTTTTTTGCAACTTTTGAGAAACTCATTATATGTATTTTCCCTTTTCTAAAAATCAAACTAAAATGCGACAACATATAAATCATAATGTAGATTTCAATCATATCTAGACACAACAAACAAAATGGTACACGTCTACAACAAATACCATCTTCTTGGTGGTCTTTGTTATTGTTTGCGATCACAATCTCAATCCCCCCAAACAAACACAGATCTATACCAATTAATGTCAAAATAACATAAATTAAACCCATCATTTCCCATACAAACACATACTGTTCAAATGCAATTAATTATTAAATGTTTATCCCTCTTCTTAAAAGTATATGTTTGTAAAGAAAGAAGTATATCATTGCAAATCCTAAAAGCAATAGATTCATCATTGCTCTCTTCAAATCCATAACCCACATGCATTGCCTCACATCCCCTATTACCTCTCCCTATGTGGCAATTAAGATCAACGGCTATAAAAAAAATCCCTTTTTGCTAGGTATCCTATGTACTAACCAATTCAAATCCTCCCAAAATTATCGTTCCATAGATTCATCTAATCCTATTTGGGGAACATAACTGCATAGGCATTAATTATATTTAGTGTCTCTTCTCCTAACACTAATTTCACTCATATTCTCTCCTTTTCTTTTTAACCAAACATTTCTTCTTTTAGATTTTTTACTTTTTATCTACAATTGTCTACACTCCATTTCCGCAATTCTCTTTTCCAATATTTTTTCATTTTTCCTAAATTTTTTCACCACCCGTTTAGTTTCTCATAAACAAATAAAAGCAATTCCCCATCTAATCATGGCATCTACTAATTCCATCCATTTACATATATTCTGCACTTGTCAATGTATCCTACTCAATTGAACTAGCACTTTAGTTGCACTTGTCCATTGAAGTGAATGAAAACTTGCTCACCATACCCAAGCACCAGTGTATAATTTTGATATAATATAACAGTGACCATGTAATCAACAAAGAGAGAGAGAGAGAGAATGTGAAAAAGGGGTTAAGAATTACCCGTAACCAAATTAGCTAATCCAACAGTGTTTAAAGCCAAACACCCGGGAATAGGGATAAGACTTAATTTTTGACAAACGCACAAGCATATTATTAGTTTTTTACCATTGTCGGGTATCAATTATGTAGTCCTATAACCCCAAACAAACACTAGCAAACAAACTTGCAAACCCGAAAAACCCAATTGGCAATGCGGTCAGTTTAAATTTGTATACCCAAAAAGACTCAAAATTTTCAACCCTAGTCACTAGATCCCCATAACCAATTCCAGTCACCACTACGAGGATATATACATACATATATATATACACATAATCAAAGTGATAAGAAAGGAGGAGGAGAGTATACCAGTGCAGATCCAGTCGCCGATAAGGGGGAGCCATTTAGAATCGGCGGGGGTTTTGGTGTCGACCAGAAGGCGGGGCTGCTTACATCTGTTACAGAAGGACCTGAAGGCATAGTTGCGGTTCCTGCATCCACCGCACTCCCAATCCCTTTCTCTCCCTTCTCCTCCCATCTTCTCTGTAACCCTCTCTCTCTCTCTCTCTCTCTCTCTCTCTCTCTCTCAACTCAGGATTCAGGGCCATAGGATTTTGGCCTCTGCCTCCCCTTCCTCCACGACCACCTGACCCAGATCGACCTCCAATAGGTGTGTAAACCTTCGAATCATCCATACCACCACCAACTCCATACGATTAAGTTGTTAGGGTAGAAGCTGTTAGAGTATAACAGAGAAGATTTAGAGTAGAAGCTGTTAGGGTTGAAGTTTCCTCTTGGGTAAGATCACACCGATCAGAAACTCCTAATCCACACCAGACATGGAAGCCTTCATACGATTAAGCTCCTCTCTTCACTCCTCAAAGGGCTTCGACTGAGTAACTCGCCGAAACGGATCCCCCTGTGCAACCTCCACCGAAGCTAACCCCAACGATGTAACCCCTTTCTCTCTTTCATTCATCGCGATAATATCAATCGTCAACCCTTCCATAGATTCCACAAAGGAAGAAGGGTTCAAATCGGCCTCATATACACAAAGGCTACTCACTGGATTTGCCTTTATTTATTTATTTTTTTTTTCTGTTTTGCAGGCACAAAACGACGTCGTTTTTTGATTGGCAACCAAATTTTTTTAGTCGCCAAAAAATTTCATTTCCCCCCTCCTGGTTGTTCAAATTTCCCTCCCAAACTTTTGGCGACCAAAAGACCAAATTAGTCGCAGAAAAAGTACCTTCCCCGACAAACTTTTTTAGTCGCCAAATCTCAATCAACGGCGACTAAAATATTGGTCGCTAAAAATACAAATTTGGCAACTAATTTTTTTTGGTTGTTGAAAATAAATTTTTGGCGACCAAAAATTTGGTCGCCAAAAAATATGTGACCTTCCGCGACCAAATTTGTAGTTAGTCGGGAAAAGTATACCACTTTCTGCGACCAACTCATTTTTTGGTTGCCAAAATATAACCTTTTGCGACCAATAATATTTGGTCGCCAAAAACAATGATCATTCGCGACTAATTAATATTTGGTTGCCAAATGTCATTTTTTTGGTCGGCAAAAGTGGTCGCCAAATGTGTAAATTCTTGTAGTGGAGATTCGAGCAAATCCATAATGTGTTTCATGTGTCGATGTTGAGGGGTTATCTTCGAGACCCATTTCATGTGATTGATTGTCACCGGGTAGCTCTTGATGAAAATATAGAGTACGCCGAGTGGCCGAAATGAATCATTGATCGGCAGGTGAAACAATTGAGAAGCAAGTCCATCCCAATGGTGAAAGTGGAATGGAAAGAACACTATGGGATGGATGCCACGTGGAAAAAAGAGGATGAAATGCGACTATACTATCCACATTTGTTTCCCGACGAAGGTAAAATAAGTTTGGAAGACCAAACTTTGTAAAGGGGGGAAGACTGTGATAACCTTGTTCCGTATTATGCTAATTAGTCCTTATTATGAATATGATTATGTGTTTGATATGGTTTTGTGTGCCATTTATGTGAAAATATGTGGTTTTGAATTTTTATTTGTTCACTGTAGGGATATCTGTTTGATTATCTGCTTTGGAATTTAAATTGAAGACCCTATCGGCCACAGAAACCGAAATTGACTACGCCA